TTTTAACATTTAATCCCTGCAAGAGTCCTCTCATATTAGTTAATAAAGCGAAAATAGTAGAACCCTCAAAAGAAAAAAATTTAAGTTTTACAAATAGAAATACAAGCAAAAAGAAATCTCATCTTTTTCTCTATCTTTCAGACTGCATCTATGAGTACTAACACTAAAACAACATTTGCTTTCAGGAATTTGTCTTCCAGTTACAAGGTACTTATATTCAAGATGTTGACACTTATTACAGAAGAATCACAGAACTCTGATTTTAAATACTGGCACAAAAAAACTTTCCATCTACTTTACTGAATAACTGTCATCATTAAATAAAAGGTGGGGGGAACAGCATACATATCAGACCTGAAAATAAGAGGCTCCTAATGCCCACACTAGCAATCAATGATGCTTTAATTATCAGGAGACCTATATCACACACTATTGAAAATAATTTTGAAATGCTAAGTCAGGCTTTGAAAATATCTGTTACTTTACATGTAAATCTTATAATAGCTGATAAAATGCACAATAAAGTAATCTAAGGTAAACAAAACACTAGGTTGTTTCTGAAGACTCATTTTAGAATTTCAGCAGCATAATAATCTTGATATTAATAATCAAACTGTACTTAACAGAAAGTTCTTAGAGGCTTGGGAAGCTGTGTATAAAATGGAGTAGATAAGAGGGAAGGGTTCCCCATGCTGTTTAAATCAACTACAGGTCCCAGCATGCAATGCACTAATCTGAAGTTAAGCAAAAACCACAATGCATCCTGGGACTTGTAGTAAGTAAACCACTTCACCCTATCACAGCAAGTTTCAAGAAAGTCTGAACTATCTAGCACAATTTGACTAGATCTTATTATCAGGGTCTAATCAAACTTAGATTTAAGTAGTTTCTTTCCTGTTCCGGCACACAGTTTCTCTAACACACATTAGAAAAAGTATACACACACACACAATTCTTTTTTTACTTGCATAAGGGATGGACTATCAATTAATATTTAGATCAACATTTTCACATTAGAAAAACCTTATATAGGAACAGGATATGAAAAAATGTTTAAAAGGCAAAAATATCTGATATGATGGGAAATGGAATTTCTGAATTTTTTAAGTTTGGTTGGATCAGTTTCAGCATTCTCTATCTGCCACTCCCTGCCCCCCCCCCCCCCCCCCCC